AAAAAAATGACATTGAAACTATTTTCGTTAAGGTTACTAAACCGAACGCTATTTCATTTACGGATGGTGTGGGTGTAAGTTCAAATATGAATAGGGATTCGTTTAAGACTATGGAACCAATAACTGCACATAATTCCCTTACTGAAAGTACAAAGTTTAACTTGCCAACTTCAAATGAAGATTCTGACTTTACTCAGAAAAATAATCATATTGCTTACATTGCATTTGGCTCCAATGAAGGTAATCAAACTAGAAACATCAATGAAGCGTTAGATTATTTGGAAACAGCCAAAATTAATGTTGTATCTACATCTTCCTTATATATATCTAAACCAATGTATTACAAGGATCAACCGGATTTTTTCAACGGAGTTGTTAAAGTTTCGTTCAAGGATCTTTCTCCACATGATTTATGGAAGAAGGGTAAAGAAATCGAATATAAACATATTAATCGAGCCAAAAAATTTGACAATGGACCGAGATCAATCGATTTGGATATTTTATTGTACGATGATATTATTTTCAACACCAACGATTTGATTATTCCTCATAAATCCATGCTGGAAAGATCATTTGTCTTGCAACCTTTATGTGAATTACTTAGTCCCGATATTTTGCATCCAGTCAGTGCCGAACCTTTCCATCACCATTTGGCTCAGTTATTAGCTGCCGAGTCAAATGAAACACTTCAAGAGTCATCTAATCTTTTACAAATTATTCCAGTTCCACGATTAGAACTAGACTATAATAGGAATCCTTTGAAATTCGACCAATTGAAATACAATCAGCAGACATTGATCATGGGTATTCTGAATATAACTCCTGATTCGTTTAGTGATGGTGGTGACAATTTTAATGTTAGTGCTGCAGAGATAGAAGCCACTGCTTCAAGATTAATAGAGGAAGGCGCTACTATATTAGATATTGGCGGTGTTTCGACAAGACCGGGTAGTGTTGCTCCAAGTGAAGAAGAAGAACTGAAGCGGGTTTTACCTGTTGTCAAAACTATCAGAGAATCAAAAAATGAAAAATTATCAACATGTCTTATTTCCATTGACACTTATAGAGCTAAAGTTGCTCAGGAATGTTTAGAAGCTGGTGCTGATATTATTAATGATATTTCAATGGGATTATATGATCCTCAAATGTTTGATGTTGTTGCCAAGTATCAATGTCCGTATATAATGAATCATACACGAGGCACACCCGAGATAATGTCTACGTTAACTAATTACGAGTCTAACACCAATGAAGATATAATTGAATACATAGTTGATCCTTTAAACCCTTCGTATAAAATCGAGAATTGTGATCCACAAGTCACCAATTTAATTAACGGAGTATCTCGAGAATTGGGATTACAAATATTGAAAAGTTTTACAAGAGGTGTAAGAAAATGGCAGATCATATTAGATCCAGGTATTGGATTTGCTAAGAATTTATCACAGAACTTAAGTATCATCAAATACGCTTCGAATTTCAAAAAATACTCCATAATGGTTAACGAACGTGGTGAAGAAGATGTTGAACATTTTTACTTAAGTTTCAATGGTTTAGCCAGTCTTTTCGGTCCTTCCAGAAAGAAGTTTTTGGGTACTATTTGTAATGAACCTGTTGCACGTGACAGAGTTATCAGCACTGGAGCAGCTGTCATGGCATGCATACAACAAAACACTGATATCGTGAGGGTTCATGATGTCAAGGAAATGAAAAAAGTTGTGCAAATGGGTAATGCCATCTATAAGAATATTTATTAAATAGAATAAAGGGTGTTGGTAGTTGTAGAGTAGATTTGCTTGGTACTAGCAATAGTTATTTAATAAAAATATTATATACTCAAAACAAATTAATAATTTAGAATGTGAGTTTGTATCTTTTCTTCATCGACACCCGCACTCAGGAGTCGAAAAATCTAGTAACTAAACGTTGCATTTATTAATTACAACTCTTATTTATATATTTGAATATTGATTTTCCATATTGAATAATATGAGAACAATTCAAGATAAATTTGAAATTCTATATGTTATACGTCTTTGAACACCCCACTGCCGTGCAAAATTTCAGCTCATTAGCTCATATTGTCGCTAAGCTATAAAAAGTTCTATTAGTGGTAAAAATTTCATCCTTTGATCTCGTATCCTTTAGGAAAGTGCATTCAACACGTCTGTATACTATGAGAATCTCCCAATCACTGGCTTCTCTTCTAAAATTGATTAAATAACTCAAATATTTGTGCTATAAGTGTCGGCAAAATTTTTCTGCATAATCACTTCTCAAAAGTTGCAATTCGCTCATATATGATTTAATTTATTTGACATATAAATTCTTTTTAAGTTGTTCATCGTTTACAGCACCATTAGACTATATAAAGTTAAAATGAACTATAATTATCGAATAGGATTTACTGCATGAAAGCATTCGAAGGAAATATTTTGTTTACTTCAATTGTCGAGTACTACTGAGATGTTATAAGAGGATTGAAGCGTTCTTTCTTACTTTCTTGACGTTTGCATAAAAAGTTGTTATTTTGTGTGGCGATGATCTCACGAACGAAAAATCAAAAAATAATGATTCAGACATACGATGGAAATATCGAGAACAAGCTACTAGCATTCGTTTATAGGAAGCGTCGAAAAAGCATGATTTTGACTATGGACGTTATTTTTATATAATTCGAAACAATGAAAAGAATTAGTCATATCAATCTTTTAATTTAAAACAATTACTATACTATATGAAAACTGTATTACTAAGGATTTACTTCTATTCTTCATCTCTAGCTTAGATTATAATTTATATAAACATTTGCATTCTCTAATGTTTTCTAAAACAAATCATCATTTATTTGAATAAACGGTTCAAATCATTTACAAATACTGATGGATGTAGGTATATCATACTCATCCACCCCAACAGTTAGTACTTCTTGACTTAGGTTAGATATTGTTCAATGTTCATTACTGTACAATCTTAGTCAAAACTTTGTCAGAGAAAATCTCTGTTAGTTCATCATGCTAGTATATGAAACACTACCAGAAGCTTCGAGAATAATATGCGTTTGTCAAACTAAAATACTAGACTCTTTATCGAAAGTACTGAATATTTATTTGATACAGAGAATATACTGGCTTTATGCCGGCTAAGTCAAGAGTTAAAAGCATAGAATGTCACCTGTTAACGTTAACAGTACGCAAATTCTCAAGACAGTCAAAGCATATTGTCGTTTTTTAAGTCATATGTATAGTTTTGTACCAACACCAGCACATCGATCAGATAAAGCGGAAATTAAAATGTCTATTATTAGATTAGTTTGTCGTTGGCGTAACTCGGACTGATCGGCATCGTAATAGTTTGACGATGACTACAGCAACGAACTTACAGATAATTACTACACCACCATAGAGAGAAATCATTGTTGTAATTCCTTCGATTAGATTACTTTGTTTGATGTAAGAATGCACACATAATGAAGGTGCACAGTTATTAAAGTAATTTTCGTAGGATACAAGAGGCACATATTTCTCCACCATTAGTTGCTTGAAAACATATTCAAAACTTGAACCATTAGGAAAACGACTTGGATTATCAGATGTACTCAATACTTGAGAAATATTTTCTGCTGTCAGACATTTAAAATCGAAGAGACAGTCGACTGGCCATTGCGAGATAGTTTCGATGGTATAACAACCCGTTGGTAATCCAAAAAGAGACCAGATGCAGCTCGAAGTAAATCCACAGTCGCATCCTTCCTTCGTGAATGGAACTGTGTGCGCAGTATGATGAAAAACTGGCTCTGGCGGAACCGCGAATTCCCAAGTTTGACCATAGGTAGTCATTAACTTGCTTGTAGTTGTTATCATGCGAGTCAATACGAACGTATTAAATAATATTACAGGTACTGTCGAATTGATATCATCAATATTCGCCTGAGTTTCTTCGGTTAATGAGAATCGAGATAACAGTTCATTATTGACCATATGACTTGCCAATAACTGATGAATTGAATCGTACACTGTGTCGTTAGACAGTGCACAGAATGCTCGGACTGCATGCACTATTGCTGGACCTGCATACGAAAACTCTGGTTTAAGGAAAGAGAATATAAGAAGATGCTCAGGGGTGATTGCGGCCAATATGTCTGAATACCAGTCTCTCAAACATATTGGATGGAACCTAGCGGTTAGCTTAAGAAAGGAATCATGTTGAATGGATATTTCTGAGCAAAAACAATGCAAAGAGTTGGGATACTGTCTATATAAATTTTCATAAACGGCTAGTGATGGTTTCTTAAATTTCTCTTCAATTAGCTGAGGACGAAAAGTGTGACGCATATAGAGACCATAAAGAATCACTATAACTAGAATGATATGTAATCGACGCGTCAACTTTTGTTCATCATTCCAACCAAAAATCCGTTTTACAAACTGCAAAGATAGTTTCAGAGAAAATCCGTTGATGAATTTTTCAATTAATCGAAGATCAAACCAGATGAGCAACTGAAAACCAATGGATAAGCCACCAAAAATACCAGTAATACTGATGACAATCTCCGTGAGACTTTGACGACTGCTATATTCGATGAAGCATGTACTTGGAGCGCATTTATAATAATAAGAACTAAAATTGACATTCTCTGACCAATCATCAATCATCAATTCATCGATAATCGATTCAATCGACTTATTAGCTTGACTAAGGCTTGAATTAAGTGCTGGAAAGATCCACGATTCGTTGGCAGGCGAATGAAAAAATTTATTAAGATTCCTCATACATGATTTATTATGGAAACATTCCAATGTCGATAAAAATAATGCTTCAACCAGATAGCAACCCATAAAAAAATTAGAGATTGTATAGATTGTCTTACGAACATCTCCGTCATACTTATATATTCCCATGGGCTCGATACATGAATCATACGCGTGACCACAATTACATTCACCATAATGTCGGGGCTCAGTTTTTAAGCTCTGTTCAGTTAAATTGGCTTGAAAATAAATACTCGGACGACTCATCAAATGATTTCTCATCGTGATAATTCGAATAAGTTCAATCCTGCGTTTAAACTGACTGCTAGTGGACGATTTCCAAGTTTTAATAAGACGATCGATTTTAGATAGAAATACTTCTTGACTGATTACTTGTGAGTTGACAATCTGCCGTTGCAAAAAAAATTCAAGAGCACCATCAGTTGTATTCTGAGCACGCTCACACAACATTGCCAATGTTTGAAACTGATTAATAGCATACTTGCGATAGTCGAGCTCGTACTCAACAGTACTACTCTCCGAATCACTGTACTTAATCCATTCTGGACTAATCAGGTAACTCGAACATACCTGATGGAATCGAGGTTCAATAGTCATAAAAGAGGAGTAAGATACAGATATATTTCTACACTTACAGATGGGATGAGTTTTATAGACGTTTTTAAAATTAAGGTATTCGGATTCGGATGGATTAGTAATAGTATGGCGATGAATTGATTTGCTCACTACGTTATATCCAGCTAGGATTGTAGCTGAAATGATGATCAAGAATATATACAGACGAGTAGCATAACGTTGATATTGAAGTTGTCGATCATTACGGGGAAAATATTGAAATGTATTTAGTTCAACGATTAACTTTTTCAACGCCGATTTCAGTAGACGCAAACGTTCACGAACTAGAAATTGAAATCATATAAATTGACAGAAGAACCATAATTGGGCAGCTCCGGCTCCGTTTTTAAAAAATACCGGCTCTTAGGATTCGGATCAGCTTCAGAGTAAGAGCTGCCCAGCCCTGTCTCTATCAGATTCATCGAACATCCACCCTAGGCAATCATACGAAGTCAACAGATAGGAAAAAATCCGTATTCAATTCGAAGCCAACTGCTAGGGATGTACCGAGCCTCTCGGGCTAGGTCAGGGCTCGAGTATGAGAATGGGTGTGGGTGTGGGTGTGGGTGTGTGTGGGGTGGGGTGGGAATGGATGTGGTGAGTGCAGGTACTATCCTTTTCACTCTCACTCACACTTTCACCAACACCCATATTCACACCGAAGCCCTCAGTGCATCCCTAACAAGAGCTCTGACATCGGCTTCAGCTCCGGTAACAAAGGTCTTCGCCTGATCCTGGCTCTGACTCTAGTTCCGGTTTCGGCTCTCGCTCTGTTTTGAAAAAAGACCAGCTCCTAGGAGTCGGAGCTGCCAAACCCTAAGGAGAGCATATAGTTATCATGAGAATATAAGTACTTACCAGTCAGAGTAGATGGTGGAGATTGTACATTATTTAATTTTTTTATGATGTATCGAACAATAATCGGAATCACTAGTCTCAGCGCGGATATCAAGCCGCTAAGTAAACCAATGAGTTTTGCCATCACATCTACTAAACTAATTCTCATTTTTTTTCGATAAGTGCAATAAAGAGGTGCACATTTGTCGCGATACTTTTCATAAGACACATTCATGAGCCATTCCTCCACCATCAGATTATCGACGATTGATTTTACGGTTGCATTTGGACTGAAACGACTGATATTGCTATCTGCCATCGCTGAAAACTTTTCTTTTGTTGGAAAAAATGAAACAAGCTTATTCAAACATGCCTGATTGTAAAAACACTCAAGTGTCGATGCAAGAATCGAAGTCACCGACAAACAACCTGATACTAACCCAGGCAGCCGTATCTCACGACTGGACTCACACTGTGTTGGTGCATCGAATATATCGCTAAAGATAGCATCAGAAGTACATTGATGATCCGAA